AGTCGGGCGCAAATAGTAATTAATCCTAATGATTTTTTATCAAGCTTGCAATTATCACAGCAGCAAATATTGAACAGGATTGGTGTCTGGTTGTCTGAGGGCAGTGGTTGGACTGTTAGTAGTATCAATGAACATTTTATAAATACAATAGTGTATGAGCCAATGAGAGGTAACTCTTATATTCCTTTACCGCCAAAGTTACAGAACTCTGCTAAGGGGCTAATTAATTTACAAAATAAGGATAATGAATGCTTCCGCTGGTGTCATATACGATATTTGAACCCACAAGAAAGAAATCCTCATAGAATTAAAAAATCAGATGAGATGATAGTTCAGGAATTAAATTACCAAGGAGTGGAGTTCCCAGTTGCTACCAAACATTATGGTAAAATAGAAGAGCAAAATAGCATTAATATTAATGTGTTTGGTTATGAGAATGAGCAATTTTATCCTATTCATGTTTCTGAGCGGAAAAACGAGAAGGTATTGAACCTGCCGCTGATTACACAGGGGGAGAAGCAACATTATGTCCTAATTAAGGATTTTAATAAGATGATCTACAATAAGACTAAACACCAACACCGTAAATATTTTTGTATGTACTGCCTCCAGTGTTTTAGCACTGATGAGATACTGACAAAACATAAGAACAATTGTATGGTAATAAATGGGGAACAAGCAATCAGGATGCCTAAGGAGTGTAGTATGGTCCAATTTCAGAACTATCATAAACAGATGCCAGCACCTTTTGTAATTTATGCAGATTTCGAAGCAATTACAGAGAAAGTATATGGGTGTCAACCAGATGGTGTTAAATCTTATACTGAGGAGTACCAAAAGCACACTGGGTGTAATTATGGTTACAAATTAGTATGTTGTTATGATGACAAATATTCAAAACCAGTGAAAATTTATCGAGGGGAGAATTCTATTAGCTACTTTATGTTGGATATGCTCTCAGAAGTAGAATATTGCCAGAAGATGATTTCTAGTGAGTTCCACAAACCGCTCCAGATGGCGGACGAGGAGGAAAAATTATTCAAGGTTGCCGAGGAATGCCACATCTGTGGGCAGAAATATTTAGATACTGAAGTAAGAGTTAGGGATCATTGTCACATCACTGGACAGAACAGGTTATCAGCACACCAGGACTGTAATCTGAAGCTTAGGATTAGCCCAAAAGAGTTCAAAGTGCCAGTCATTTTTCATAATCTCCGTGGGTATGATTCCCATTTAATAATGTAAGAAACTGGATCAATTGGAAAAAGCAATAATTTGAGCATTAATTGCATCCCGAATAATATGGAAAAGTATATGGCCTTCGGGTTAGGCAAACACGTAGTATTTCTGGATAGTTTTCAGTTTATGGCCAGCAGTTTGGAGAGATTAGCCGCCAATTTACCCGCCGATGCGTTCAAGTATACTAGTCAGGTGTTCCAAAATGAGAAACTATCGCTGATGAAACAGAAAGGGGTATATCCTTATGATTATGTGGATAGTTTTGGGAAGTTTGGTGATCAGCAACTACCACCAAAAGAGGAATTCTATAGTATTCTTACAGGTGAGGGTATTTCTGATGAGCAATACCAGCATGCCCAAAAAGTCTGGAATACTTTTAATATGAGGACAATGGGTGAGTATCATGATCTGTATTTGAAATCTGACATTCTCTTATTAGCTGATGTTTTTGAGAATTTCCATAAGACGTGTTTGCAGTATTATAAACTGGACCCCTGTCACTATTTCACATCTCCTGGGCTATCCTGGGACGCTATGTTGAAAATGACTGGTATTAAACTGGAGCTCATGGCGGATGTTGATATGTTCCAATTCATAGAAAAGGGATTGCGTGGTGGTATTTCCTACATCGCCAACTGACATGGAGAGGCTAATGAGTATATGAGTGGGTATAATCCAGAGAAACCAAGTAAGTATATTATGTATCTAGACGCGAATAACCTTTATGGATGGGCGATGTCTCAATATTTACCAACAGGTG